CAGGTATATGAGCTGAACATTTACATTAGGTAGATACACACTCTTTGGAGAGATCAATCATGGGGAATAAAAGGGTGTGTATGCACAAGGAGACAAGTGGGGGAGCGGTCAGGAATGCATGAAAGGGAAGGACACAGGGAAGAGGTAATTATTGGGAGGAGGTGAAGAAGTGGGAAGGGAGCTGTTGCATAGTGGTAAATTGTAGTCAATATCATGAGACAAAGTGTATGTGAGTACTGTATACAAAGTGAATTTGCTCTATAAACTTTCACCCAAAACACAATAAAATTTTTTTAAGGGAAAAAAAAGGCCATGAGAGCCAAAATATGACCTCGAATATCCCTCCTGAATTTAGAGACCATTTAAAAAATTGATTTGATGCTTTGAACACCAATGACCAAAAAACAGAGGAATTGTGGGATGACATGAAGAACATCATCCATGAAGCAAGCAAGAGGTCATTAAAAAGATGAGAAAGGAAGGAAAAACCAAAATGGGTGTCAGAAGAGACTCTGAAACTTACCCTGGAGTGGAGAATAGCTAAAGCCAATGGAAAAAATGACGAGAAAAGAGCTAAACAGAAGATTTCAAAGAGCAGCTCGAGCAGACAAAGCCAGTTACTATAATGAAATGTGCAAATACTTGGAGTTAGAAAACCAAAAAGGAAGAAAAAACTCAGCATTTCTCAAGCTGAAAGAAATGAGGGAAAAATTTAAGCTGTGAATTGCAATATTGAAAGATTCCATGGGCAATATGTTGAATGATGCAGGAAACATCAAAGAAGATGGATGGAATACACAGAGTCACTGTATCAAAAAAATTGGTAAATGATCATCCATTTCAGGAGGTGACGTGTGATCAAGAATCAATGGTACTGAAGGAAGAAGTTGAAGCTACACTGAGGGAATTGGCGAAGAACAAGGCTCCAGGGATTGACAGACTATCCATTGAGATGTTTCAACATACAGATGCCCCACTGGAGGCACTCACTTGGTTATGCCAAGAGATTTGGAAGACCGCTTTGCCAAGAGATTTGGCCAACTGACTGGAAGAGATCCATATTTGTACCCATTCCAAAGAAAGGTGATCCCACAGAATGTGGAAATTATCGAACATTATCATTAATGTCACATGCAAGTAAAATCTTACTGAAGATAATTAAAAAATGGTTGCAGCAGTATATTGACAGAGAACTTCCAGAAGTGCAAGCTGGATTCAGAAGAGGATGTGGAATGAGGAATATCATTACTGATGTCAGATAGATGTTGGCTCAAAGCAAAGAATACCAGAAAGAGGTTTACTTGTGCTTTATTGACTATGCAAAAACATCTGATTGTGTGAATGATAACAAATTATGGATAACACTGAGAACAGTGAAAATTTCAGAACACTTGATTGTACTCATGAAGAACCTGTACATAGATAAGGAGGGTGTTGTTAGAACAGAACTAGGGGATACTGCATGGTTCAAAGTCAAGAGGGGAGTGTGTCAAGGTTGTGTCTTTCATGATACTCATTCAACTTGTATACTGAACAAACAATCCAAGAAGCTGGATTACATGATGAAGAAAGTGACATCAGAATTGGAGGAAGACTCATTAACAACCTGTGATATGCAGATGACACAACTTTGGTTGCTGAAAGTGAGGATGATTTGAAGCACTTACAGATAAAAATTAAAGACTACATTCTGCAGTATGGATTACATCTCAATATAAAGAAAACTAAAATCCCTACAACTAGTCCAATAAACATCTTCATGGTGGATGAAGAAAAGATTGAAGTTGTCAAGGATTTCATATTACTTGGTTCTACAATAAACATCAATGGAAGCAGCAGTCCAGACATGAGATGACATATTACATTGGGCAAATCTGCTGCAAAAGACCTCTTTCAAGTGATGAAGAGCAAACATGTGTCCTTGAAGACTAAGGTGCACCTAACCCAAGCCATGGTATTTTCAACCGCCACTTATGCATGTTAGAGCTGGACAATTAATAAGGAAGACCAAAGAAGAGTTGATGCTTGTGAGTTGTGGTGTTGGAGAAGAACGCTAAGAGTACTATGATCTGCTAAAAGGATTAACAAATCTGTCCTGGAAGAAGTGCAGCCTGAACGCTCCTTGGACGCAAGAATGGCTGAACTTCATTTCACCTAGTTTGGTCATGTTGTCAGAAGGAACCCTTCCCTTGAGAAGAATATCATGTTGGTAAAGCAGAGGGGTCAATGAAGAAGGGGAAGGCCCTCAACGAGATGAATAGACACAGTGGCTGCAATGATGGGCTCAGGTATAGCAAGGATCATGAGGCTGGCTCAGGACTGGGCAGTGTTTCATTCTGCTGCGCATAGGGTCACTATGAGTTGGAGACAACTGGACGATACCAAACAACACAACAACATAACAATAGCTAAGAAGTGGCAGAGACAGTATTAAATCTGGTTTTGTCTGACTTTTGAGCCCATATTCTTTCAGCGTATAAAACCAACTTTTTGAATTATATTTAAGTTCTTTTATATAGTTGTATATAAGTGG